TCTATCGTAGCCTCTACTTTATTATGTGTGTAGTCTTGGTGTAGTCTTACTAATTAATAGTCACAATACTATATAGAGTGAAAAGTAAATTACTATACGTGCAACAACACTCACATATATATATATATATGTATATATATATATATGAGTGTGTGTGTGTGTGTGTGTGTGTGTATATATATATATGGGGTGTGTGTGTGTATTTGTGCGTATATATATAATATATGTATGTATGTATGTCTGTTTGTATGTATGTACGTACGTATATATATATATGTATATATATTATGTGTCTGTGTCTGTGTCTGTGTGTATATGTATATACGTATATACATATATACATATATATATATATATGTGTGTGTGTGTATGTTTGTATTTTCATATATCTATTTATATATAATATACATACATAATATATATATATATATATGTGTGTGTGTGTGTGTGTGTGTATGTATATCAGTACATTTACTTCTCAACCCCATCAGCATAACATAAATATTTGCTTGTACATACCGTGCCTTCAATGGCTCAGCTGAGTCGTTTTGTTGTTGACTCCAGGACGTCTGGCTGTATACAACGTTATCCTATCACATTTGTTGTAGTCTTATGCATCCAACGAATTTACAACGCATACTCTCGCATATATCAGCTGGCTTCAGTATATTTGAAAGTGTAACATAACCGTTAATTCGGCTTAAACCACCAAGCGTTTTGAGCTTAGCTATTTGGATATCGCTCTAAAGCCTAAATCCAGTATTCAGACGGCTACGGTTTGGTTTATGGTAATCGCACGCGCTATCCCCGCTGAGATCTATGGGCACGATTCAATTCGTTATATTGTTCGTTTGAGTCTTGCCATCTATTCGTTTCCTTGTACCGAACTGGCTTCCAACGCACCTAAAACACTAAAACCCTAGAACCTTAACTGGCTTTCGACGCACCTAACACCTTAAACCCATATAATTCTTAAACCCTAACTGGCTTCCAACGCAGATACTCTGGAGCGGATATAAACATTCTCGTCCGCGACGCTCTGTTTATGCCCGTGCGCAAAATCCAGACGGCCACACACTTCAAAAGGGTAGGCACCACTCAAACCCATCTGGAATGTAGTAGGCGGTCGAGATGGTCATTATTGTGTGGATATGTGTTGGTACTATTGGCATGTGTTTATGTACTATTGATATGCGGATAATCAGAACCAAGTGACATGTGAGGCGCGTGCTCTCTTGCTTTCCCCAGAAATAGGCTGCGTCTCATGCTAACTTCCCACTGTGCATAAGGCAATTCATTTGTGGCTGAATACATGCTGGACATCATTTTCTGGAATTTAAATAGCATTAGAGGCCTCCATAGGCGATAAGGATAACTTCCTACACTGCATTCAGTGCCTGTACTGGCAGTACCTGTACTATTAGATCCTGTACTAGCAGTATCTATACTAAGAGTACCTGCACTAACAGTACCTATACTATTAGTACCTGTACTATTAGTTCCTGTACTGTTAGTACCTGCACTGAGCTAGGCTGGCTTCGCCATGTCGATTACCTGTACGGCACAATATTCTTATATGTTGCTGCACGCTCGCAGAGGTGTCAATAAATAGGCTATCGGCCAGCGTGGGATGCGGGTATCTCTGCTTCGAAAATTGCCATAGGTTGTCGCGAAAGACAGGACGGTGGTCTCTGTCTGACCTTTGGTCACAAGCCAGTACTGCGGTTTCATTCCGTCACTCGCATAAGGAAAGCCCGGTATTGATAAGGTTTAATTCGACACTCAGGTCCACCCAGCATAGCCTAACCAAATGTTTCACGCGTGTACTAATGATCTGTCCCTATTTGGTTTGTATCAAGGTTCAAGCGGCGGCCAGGGACAATCCCAATGCCACGTCATCGTATTTGACTCCCTGTAATCCGGCAGATAGGGGAGCACAGCCCATGACGTGGATGAAGGTAACAACTGTCCGTTAACTCTCCAAGAATATTGAGTCTGTGTCTGTGTCGTATGTGTCTGTGTCTGTGTCGTATGTGTCTGTGTCTGTGTGTGTGTGTGTGTGTGTGGAGATCAGAAGTCCTAACGGATTGGGTGGAGGTCGTTGGCACCTGAATATATAAATACAACGACTTCTAGATTGAAAGGGGCTTTTGTGTTAACCTATAGGTTGTGATGTTGAATTTGCACAGTTAGCGGCACCAGAAGCCCATAGTTTGAACGCGAGGTACATTTGAACAAATGTTTGGTTAGAAACCAAATATATTTCCTTGAGTGCGCCCATACATATACGTCCGTGTTGTCATCGATGTTGATAGGTCATGTTGTGCATTCTGTGGATAGCTTGTGCTATTTTAGTTTCAGTTTAGCAATCTTCTCTGCTACACTCTAGGGAGCACTGATACACTTATGGCCTGTCTGATAGCGTTTACTAGCTTCCATACAAACACTCGGGAAACTTGTTCTGTGAAATATTTTCCATGCGTGACATCTGCCTATTTAACCTACTTCATACATTGCAAGTTGTGCTGAATTTGATCGGCTGTCTGGGTCGTAAGAGTGAGTATATGGCACCTGGTGTACCGTGTGGAAAGACTGTTGCTAGCTTTTATTTACGTACAAAAGAACCTGCTTGTATAATACAATCAATCTGTATACGACTTATGTATTGGTGCCTGGTAGGTAGTCTCCTTATCGAGTGTTCTGCTGTTATCATATGATCTTTGTAGGTGGATGGAGATGAGCTTCTGGAGCCAGTTGTGTGCATGGATGATATGAGGGGGGCCTTACGAACGGTTAAACCTACTGTGGGACATGACGACCTGAAAAAACACGTGGACTGGATGAACGACTTTGGTCAGGAAGGCTGATGTGTCCAACAAATAAAACTAGGATCTTTTCAACAATATAGGTTGGGTGTGAAATTCTGTAATGATGAAATAAAGCACTCATGCGCTAATTGCTGACAGTCGCATTTCGAAAAGTCTTTAAATTCATTCTAGAAAGGCTTCACATGCAATAGCGCTAATCAGTGGACTGAACCAGGCATGACCGAGAGTGTCTATCTGCAAATCCCCCGTTGTATAAGAAAGGGCTCTCTGCCGCATACGTTTCAACTGCTCTGCCGGGCAACGGTCCTTGACCTTTGACCCACTATTTCTCTACTAGAGTGTAGGGAGCAGGTGCTCTGAACTTCTGAAGTGTGAGGCTCTGGCTTCTGGCCCGCTGCGCCGCATTGAAAGTGCTAGACATCAACACTACAGGAAACAAGAAATCATGGTATACCCCTATCCAGTACTAGCTGTTTGATGACATCAAACCCCGTTGAGATCTCTCCCCCGGATTTGAATGACTGGTAGCGCTTTGTCGGTAATCCAGCTACCATAGCCATACCAGAAGTCTTCTCAGTCTCCGAGTATTGCAGCTGCGTATTCTCGACTCCATTGATGATATCCAATTCGAGTATTTGTTCCAAAGTTATACTCAACATTCAAGTTTTCCGAATGTCTTAATCCGATAGTTTCTCCACCACGGCGAGTGAGACCTCCTGGAATACGGACAATAAAACAAGCTCCACACGCCAACTTAGCAGCACCCGTACACATCACCACTCCTGATGCTGAGTAGACACATATAACTGTTGTATCCTTATTTTCAAATAGAAATATGAAGCATCCATTACTACCTGCTACCCCATTTAAACACTCCATTCTTTCGTGTCAACCGCATAACTGGTTGCATAATGATAGAGTAGCTGGGTATTCCACGTAATCCCAAACGCTCATGCTCCTTGACATCGAGATCTTCCAGAACGGCACACTCACGGGAGGTGTCAATAAAACGTAATGTCCTATGTCTCATAATATGCACTACCCCTATGTGCATATACTGACTATAACAAGAGGTTCGCAACCCCCTGCTGTATCTGAATTTTACGCTTATTAGCTTTCGCTGTATCCTCTTTAAGATCAAACATTCTATTTTTGCAATATAAATATTTAGAGGGGCCATAACAGAATATCAAAAATCTCTCCCCATGCACAACTTACCCCTGTTCGCTGTACCTGTAACTGCACACGATCACTAACATAGACCAACATCAGATCTACTTGTGACGCATACCATGACGTCACATACTGAGTTTCAAGTCTTGTACGTCGATATGTATCAATCTTACCCAGGCAAGGTACACGAAATTTCAACTGAAGGGCTTATATATGGCATGCTGAAACTTGAAGACCGGACACGAGCTGAATTTTGTTCCGAGAGCACACCAGACTTTCTCGAAGCGTCCTAGTTCTGTAGTAAAATTTAGTTGATCAAATAGTCAGAGGGCATCAGCGAGTAAGCGGACAGCCGCAAATTGCATAAATGAATGAACCCATATACTTTAGTCTGCAACTGATTGCGTGAGACCAAGGGATCGAAGCTTGTCTGCAAGCTCATGATTCCAAATTCTGCCGGCCTGTTTGAGGCCATAAAGGCCACGTCGAGGGCGGAGGACAATATTTGAGGGATAGTGGCCAAGGGAATCGAACCTCTTGGGAGGAAACATGAAAACAGGGGCGTCGAGGACGCCATATAAAAAGGCGGAAGTAACATCGAAATGGTGGACGCTAAGGCCCTCGAAAGCAGCTAGGGTAAAGAAGAGGCGGAGGGCAGTGGCAACAATATTCCTGCTCATCCCCTCGTGCCACCATTCGCGCTTTATAGCGTGCTAACCGCCCATGTTCATCGTGTTTGAGTGCAAACTCGTATTTACTATGTGTAACTTTTGCGGACGGTGGGACAGGGGAGAGGAGGTCAATGTCAGCCAGTTCATTTCTGATGTGATTCTGTTGTTTGGTTTCGATAGCTAGACCACGAGAGGTTCCAGTTCTATTTCATCTTGTGATATATGATGGTGGGTAGAAGGAGAGGTAGAGGGAAAAGAGGGATGGAAATGACCAGACGGTAAGGTTGGCGGTCCGGAGAAAAATACTGAGTTGGTTGCAGAGGAGAACAGATGAGTTCAATTAGCGGGTATTTCATAAGAATATGGAGAGGAGAAACGAAAAGCTACTTTACCATCTGCCCCTACTGTGCACTTTCTTCCGGGAAGAATGTATTGTCTTGGGTGTTCATGATCATCTGTGTAGCGATATTCTGCATATGTTAACTTTGGTGGATATTTCTATGCTTTAGACTACGTTATATAAACTAAGATACAATTTAAGTCAGTTAGGATTTAGGCTTAGCAGTGGTAGCTTGTGTAAGAATGATCAGGATAAGAGCCTTAATGTCCTCGATAACACAGGACGTACCTCTAGCTGTTCTTTATTGAATAATTTTCACTAAAAGTACTAAATGCTCATGACAACAAGTCTAATTTGTAGATAGACATAAGAACGTCAGTCAAGTTAATACATTAGCAAATATAAATAAAGTTCCATCTGAAGAAAAGATAAAAAAAGAAAAAGACTTCTTGGATTTTGGAGATTGGCGGGAATACCAAAACCTGTAAGTAGTAGTTCAGAGATTACAGGTTTTGGTTTGTAATATCCTACATCTACTACCGATTCAAATAGATCCAAGTAAATGAGTCATACCAAATACTCAGGCTATTGGAGCCATTAAAGTGAATTTAGAACACTTTGGAAATATTGGAAAAGGAACTTGTAATTTTTTTTTAAATACAAATAAAAACCAATGTGTTATCTCATTTGATCTTGATATTTTAGACTGACCGGAATCCGTATTTCTACACATAGTGTAGCAGCTGGTAGTGGAATTAAGCCAACCTAGTAAAGATGTTTTGGCGTTGTGGGTCTTTTTGAAGGAAGGTGTGATAAGGCGTCTGGAGTTTTTCTTGTTCAGCCAAGATGGCGTTTCGGAGGTAGTCAGCAAATACCTCTACATAGCCCCAAAGGGGGAGAGCAACACGGACAATGTTGTTAAGGGTGTCGTGTGAGTTTTCCATCTTAGCATTTTGTGTGGTGTGGATGCCAAAGAGTGTGCCTGCATCAAACATATTGAGTGCGTAGACATTGTCTGGGGGTAAGTGACCTTGGAGCTCGATGCGGAATCGTTGTCCAAGACCATAGACGGTGTTAGTTGATTTATAGAAAACAATCTTAGCCCGTAGTTTCCCTTCTATGCATATATTGTAATGTTTGGGAAACTCGGATTAGCTTTCACGAAATAAATCGCTGAAGAGTAGTCGGCACCAGGGGAAACGTGGCTTTAAAAGGAGCAAACTATAGCTAAGAGGGAGCATAATCATGCGGCAAGTAACGAGCCAGATTTGGTGTTGGCGTAAATCATCTCAAAGATATCAGTCCATTAAGGATTGGCGTTGTTGCATTCAGGAATGAAATCTACGTGGCAATAGTCCAGGGAAATACCCGTACTATCAAGTGAGGCATATTTAGGAATTTGGCTGGTATGTTTGGTGGCACATAAGTTATTGGTTGGTTTGTAATTTGATGCTGTAAACCTGGACTCTGGAAAGAATGAGAGTTGTTTCTAAGCGCCAAAGATGAGAGGTCTTTTGATCGCCAGGAAATGTATTGGAGAAACCGGCATACTGAAGATTGTATTGGGCTAAGATAGCTTGTGCAGTAGTATGATCAAGGTATATGAGGCCAAGTAGTGAACGTTGACCACGACAAGAGATATGCGTGATTCTGTTGTCCGCTAATTTAAGCAGAACGTTTTCGTGTCCATTGTCAGTGAGATGATGATGGAAGAGCCGAAGTAAGATCCATGTCGTCGTACTGCGACAGTGCATACGGCTATGCCGATGCCGGCCTTCTCATTCATCCACATTACAGCCATCAGGGGCAAGGAGTGTCCAGACTTCAACAACGAATTTGGAAGAACGTGATGTAGAGAGTATGTTGAATCGAAATTATGATTAATCGGAATAATTTCCTATAACCTATAGGGATAATATTATTTATTTCAACAATGACAGGTATGTATGATACAATATATGAACATATGGTATGGCTCTCATAGTCGTTGTAGTGGTTCAGGAAAGATTGATGGGAAGAAGTGGTCAGTAAATTCCCGTTTGAAGCTTGGGCCAAGTGAGTCGACAATGGAAGATATGTGCTGAGTCAATTCGGGCCGGTGTTGACAAAACACTGTTACTATCGAATGTTCCATATATTCGCTTGCTGAACTACTAAGTAGAGTACCCACCTCTGGGGTACGGATCGGGTCTACGCCGTGTAGTGCCGCGGTATGAACCTATAGCGACCCGTCAAATATAATTATATCAACGAATAAACTTTATTGCTGTCTGTGTGCTAAGCTTATATCAAACACTAGAATTAATAAACCAGTATGGGGTCTTCGAAATTTCGAGTCATACTGTCCTGATTGTAAAACCTAGTTTGATATATGAAGTAGACACAGGAAAAACTTGGTTAGGGATCAACCTTGAGTCAGCGGCGGAAATTTCAGAGCCGAATTCTAAAACAGCCTATGGAATGTAATAATATATAATAAAATCTTAATGTGCACAGAATCTTTTACATTTATGGACAAGCAGGTTTTTATTTGTCTATATCAACAAAGTTGAACAAATAGATCTGTAAATTGAAGTATCTTATTAAAAAAAGTACTAATGAAATCTTGATCTCTAGTAGTGACTCTAGAGTAGTCTCTGGAGACACTCTCTCTAGAGAGAGAGATACTGAATAGTGAACAGAAATCGCTTTTTTGGTTGTCAGGGTTTAAATATATATTATATATCACTAGTACCGAGAAATCCTACGAATCGTAGGATTTTCAAAAATTTGGCCCTAAATTTTTTGATTTTTTTTTGTTGACATCCTACGATTCGTAAGATTTTGACGGACTTTGACTTTGGCCCTTATTTACACCCATTTAGAAATGTCTTAGGCCTATTCTCTATGTCGCAAATGAAAGACAGAAAAATTCTAGCCGAAATCGGTAAGCGAAACATGGCAATCAGTCGAAAACTCCCTTCACAGCAATCGTTCAAACACAGCAATTCAGACAAACACCCATAACCTTACTACTAGCTATATGTAACCCAGGTGTAATAGTACTGTAAACAGTCGTTTAGATAGTTAATTAGCATTATTTTGCATTAGTTAGCATGTCAGATAATCCATTAGAAGTAGAGAACCCTTCACCAGATACGGCAAGGCGTAACCAACATAGGAATCAACATTCCTACTCAAGGACATTAACTGCATTGCATGAACATGCGCATGCACAGAATATCGAATATAGGAATTTCGATACTTCCAATAATGTTTTATACGCACAAAGCGCAAGAACACAACATACTAACACACAACTATCTGTAAACTCGCACAGTAATTACATGTCGTACACACAACCAGATTTGATGGATTGCTTCAATGGGATGCAATCGCAACAATCGGCATTTCACGATAGTTACATACCAGCAGACGATACTTGTGCTAGAGCTGACTACAACGTTAACAGATGAGATCCTATATATTACACATCATTAGAAAACAACAGTCATCGATATAATGCTGAGAAGACTCAGTCCTACACAGATAGACACACCGCACACAGATGAGCATCGCAATGGGGTCGGGAACTCGGGATTCGGGAACTCGGGATAAGATTTTAGATCATCACAACAACCAAGCGAGAGTTTATAAGAAAAGACTGGCAACGACAGAAATATAATTTGTTTTTGTTTTAGGTCCGTTTTCGTACTCAGAGCACAAAACAAAACAAAAATCAAAATAAAACCATGTAGTCCTCTGTGTGAGACTGTGAGGTCGGATTTTAGACTTCTGACATCTGAAGTTCTGAGGTTCTGCGGGGGTGTCCTCTTTTAACAGGATCAGAAAATTCCGATTTTGAGCGTTCACCAATGGAGAGGCCGCAAAGGTTTATTTTGAGAAAATATAATGAAATTTTTATGGACGGGGACAAAATTTTGAGAACAAAAATTATTCTCGAAATTTGGAATCAGAATCAGATTATCAGAAGTACGAACATATTCAGAAGTGTTTTTCTTTAAAACAAAAACAAAACAATATGTGGGAACTGCGATTTTTTGGCCATAAACGTACTTTCAAACTTGTACATTGCACATTTGTCGATTTTTTTTACACTTCTTCTATTCAGTAGAGACTGAGAGAGAGGGGGTCATGAATCCATGAAGGTGTCTTTCAGAGAAATGATGACTTGACGAGTCACTTCTCTCAAGATTCTCAACAAATCGCACCCAAAATTGCCAACAGACCCAAATTTTCATAAAGTACACAATACAAGTCATCATGCTCCAAAATTGTACTTTCTGTCCTCTCTGATTCTATTTCTGTGCAGAAATTTCTGATCACAATTTTTAAAGACACCCCATGGGCCAGACCTCATTACGTTATCATATGTTGATGAGAACGTTTTGATTTCAATACGTTGCAAGGCTACATGCATATATCTTGGCCAGAGATTTTTTTCGATTTTTTTTCTTAATTTCGACCTGGACCTATTATAAAAAATTGGGCCATAGAAACACACCCGACCTACTGGCATTTAAAAGCTGTCACTAGCATGGTAGTCAGCCGTTCGTATGGTGTAAGCATAGCCAGACACCAGTCTTGCATTTAACGGTTTATTCTCTCTGTTTGGCGGGTTAACTGACAGTGACAGCCCGACAGGGTTGCGGTCTATGGGAGGACAAAAACTAATACCTGGATCTTGGACCCACATTGATTTTGGGGCCGCTGTTTGCTATGAAAAGGCTACGTTTTTCATCTACTTTTTGGTTTCAAAATGTTGGAACGTTCAACGTAATGAGGTCTGCCCCAGGCCCTGCCCCATTTAATGTACAAAAAAAATTTCCCCATGAACCAGCGGGCATCGAGTGTTCGAGACATTTTTGTATTGGTCTTTTAAACATACGGAACCTAACCAGTAATCTATGCGACTGGCGACACATAGCTTTTCTCTGGGAAGAGTGGACTCCGGACTCTAACTCCTGGACGACCTTTGGAGTCTGCCTGTCTCTGCGTGGGGCAATGGGCAATGGAGTAACAATAGGCTCTCTGCCTTTCGTGAGTGGGGAGATTTCAGATTCTGGAGTCTGGAATTCTGGATAGGTCTGGAATCTGGAGTCTATTTACTCTAAAGAGTAGGGTCTCGACTTTGTTGAAAAGTGGACCACCGCTTTGACATGAATACTATCTTATTCTTAATTATTAATCAAGTTAGGAAAAAATTGCGATTTAGTTTTGGATTTTGCCAATTTGGGGTTAAGTATTAATAGAAATTGGGTTCACATTCTTAATTATTATAAAATATTTATGTGCTTTTACAAAATGCAATAAGAAAACGTACAGATCGATACATAATAATGACAAGGTAGCTCCAGTCTCCAGTCTCCAGTCTCCAGTCTCCACTCTCCAGTCTCCAGTTTTAACCCCTAAAAATAAATTCCTAATGCATACTTCTTATTTCTTGATAAGCCAGTTTTCTGTTTCAATTTGATTTCTTAATACTGGTCGACATATTTTAAGTAAGATAGCTTTCATATTTCTTAAACATTTATTATTTGGCGCCCAATCACATGGAGATGTTTTAGCTTGTATAGGTGGACGTACGCCGGGGTTGCATCTTGGATTGGGCTCATAGCAGCAATTTTGACTACGTTGAGTTGTATCGATGCCGTGAGGTATCAGCTTGCGATGAATAAGTTATAAACGTCGGAATCATGTACGTCTTGCTCGCTATACTGAGATACTCGTTCCTATCACGGAACATAGCTGTGTCGTTCGTCGACTGGCAACGCTCTGTTTCTGTGTATGTGGTGTGTGGTGTGTTAACAGTAGCAATAACGGTGCTTTATGCAACAGTGTTTAATGCATCGACGCCAAGCAAAGCGTCAACATTGGGGCGTGTATTTACAGTCATATATGCCACCCAATTTACGATATGCATGGCTACAATGGTCCTATTTGGCCAACTGGCTGGTATAGTTTTTGGCCTTGCAAGGAGTCGTGATTTGGATCTCTCATTTGTTTTTCTCAACAGTCAGCCCTTGGGTGAAAAATCTATTGTGTACAGCGCTAGAGGTAGGCCTAGCGGTTGTACAGCATCATCCTCAGTAACAACAGACACATATCCCCAGCCTGCACCATGACTCAACATCATCCTCAATATTACAACAGATACACAACCCCAGCCTGCACCATTACTCAGCATCATACGCAGAACTGAAGCAGGGAATACAGTAAACATCTCAGTTGACAAGTGTACAAGAGCATCGTGCTCGTAGAAACAAATCATGCGGCAAACAAACCGATCATGCAGACTGAAAGCAGTTATTGATACTTTTCGGGGTTGTTTTTAGAAAGTGGTGTGGCCAAACAAAGTACATGATGAGCAGAGTATGGGACGCGAAAGTAGAGGATCGCTTCCAATTGTGGAGTCAACGTATCGGCGACGTTCACTTAGGGTGAAGCGCGGTTTCGCATGCTATACAAAAATGAGAAGTATTTCACGTCTGCTGAAAGTAAGGCACTACACTTTGGGCCCCCACGAGGACCTGCAGGTGTGGTACACCAATGAGCTCTGATTTGATATTAAACTGTACAACTATTGAATGGGAAATTCAGCAATAAGAGCAGTATATCATTTTTATAAAAACTCACTTAACCTTCGCTTCGTCGTAGTGATTAGGTTTTGAGCAGCAACGATTGTGCAAGATACACATTAACGACACAGGATATTATAACCGATACTTGGAATATAGCTATCATAAAGTGCCAAAAACTATAATTCTGAACAAATGGCGAGTTTATATCGCGTGAGCACAAGCGGGAAGATCCTTTGCGACGTCTTTGTTCGATTTCTGCTATGGTTTAATCCATCTAGACTAACATAGAGGTAGGTACCACAATCAATGTATGTACTTTTAGACACTGAGATGGATACTTGGGAGAAACTTTATTTGGATAATGCTATGAATAGTGCTCGGTGGGGCTTTGTGGCGTGCTTGAACTCGACATGTTGGAGCTGGAGACATCGCCACTGGGAAGCAGCAGCATATCGCGTGTGTCCTCTTCTCCAAACGACCATTGCACTGAACATAAATGTCACACAGATAAAGTTTAAACATGGAGGTCGCAAGCTGAGGAGATGTAGTGGCAAAACGACATGTATACAAAACAACAAGGTAATGCTGTAGAGCACCAAAATATACATCAGGCGTTGCGCAGAGTGAACTAATACAAAGTTTGTATCACAAAAAGGTACAGAAAAAAATAATACTAACAACGTAAAAATGAAGCATAAAAAGGAAGCAAGAGTAAAGTTGGTAACAACACAGACATTAAATAGCAGTGCAACTGTAATGACAGACATGAATACGCGCATGAAAAGAAGCGTACAGTCAGAATAGAAACGGGCAGATAAAATATGAATGGTATTTGACGAGTAAGTGGTGATAGGCACTTCAGACAGCAACACTTCAAGCAAACAATACGATTACTTGTAGCAATAGCTTGAAATTATGGCATTTTGACGCATGAGTACTAAATGCATCGATTTACTATATATA